AGTCTCCATATGTTCACCTTCCTCTTTGATGATTTGGGTGTCCCACAAGATTACAGGCACATGGAAGGTTCGGGTGTGAATACTTACACCCTGATCAACAAGGCAGGCAAAGCACACTATGTGAAATTCCACTGGAAACCGACTTGTGGGGTCAAATGTCTATTGGAGGAAGAATGTGTTAAGGTTGGGGGTGGTAATCACAGCCACGCCACCCAGGATCTTTATGATTCAATTGCGGCCCAGAACTATCCTGAGTGGAAACTCTTCATCCAAACGATGGATCCTGATCATGAAGACAAGTTTGACTTTGACCCGCTTGATGTGACCAAGACATGGCCCGAGGACATATTGCCATTGCAGCCCGTGGGACGTTTGGTGTTGAATAAGAACATCGACAACTTCTTTTCGGAGAACGAGCAGCTGGCATTCTGCCCTGCCATTGTGGTTCCTGGCATTTATTACTCTGATGATAAGATGCTCCAGACGCGTATTTTCTCCTATTCTGACACACAACGGTACCGCCTTGGCCCAAATTATCTCCAGCTTCCTGTCAATGCCCCCAAGTGTGCTCATCACAATAACCACCATGATGGGTTAATGAATTTCATGCATAGAGATGAAGAAGTATGTCATGTTCTTTGGTTTCTCCTCTTGCCTCTTCGCAACTTATTTATCTATCTGTCTCACGGTGTGTTTTGTAATTTCATCAGGTAAACTATTTCCCATCAAGGTATGACAATTGTCGCCATGCAGATCAGTACCCTATTCCTCCACGTGTGTTGACAGGAAAGCGCGACAGGGTCAGTTGCGTACTTAATTGATGATACTAAATAGTACTCCTCGAGACGGACAAAATCCACTTAATTGGAGTAGTAGTTATAAACACATATCCGCCTCGTCTGTTTTTTCTCGAGACGGACAAAATCCACTTAGTGATTAGTTTTGGGATTTGCACTCACATGGTATAGTATTCATGCAGTGCATAATTGAGAAGGAGAACAACTTCAAGCAGCCAGGAGAGAGATACAGATCCTGGACACCAGACAGGTAATTGATTAAACTCGAACACATTATTAGCTAGATTTAATGTCGTGTTCTTGAGATTATTATTGCATAAAGATTAAGTGGGTTGCAATACTTTTTTCCATGTAAACAACACCAGGCAAGAAAGATTCGTCCGGCGATGGGTTGAGGCACTGTCTGACCCACGGGTCACCCATGAAGTGCGCAGCATTTGGATTTCATACTGGACTCAGGTATAGACTAACCAAAAAAATTTACCTTATACTAGCTCTTCTCAAAGGCTTTCTGTGGTAGTTTGATTAGTTGTACATATACATTTTTGTTTCAAGAGACTGCTAATTATGGAATAATGCCGGGCTTAGCGCTTTAGACCAGTTATTTTGGTCCTGTATAATGAACCTGTCTAGCCCAAGGCAGGCTGATTGGATTGATTTTGGGTGAACGAATGCTAATTATGTTAAAATGATGATCGAATAATGCAGGCGGATAGGTCTCTTGGACAGAAGGTATCTTCACATCTCAATGTGAGGCCGACCATGTGAAGATGATGAGGTTTGGGTTGCTTGCTAATTAAACACCTGCAAGGGAATACACATATGATTATTACTATTATATGCCACCATTTGAGTTGGGTGTTTGTATTTCGTCGCAAGTCATAAAGTATGTTATGTACTTAACCTGTGTGTTGTGGCAACAGTCAGTAACCTTGGAAATTAAATTTACTATGTCTGAATAAATGTTGTCTGTCTTGATGTGGAAGTATCTTCTTCATTCTTATTATTCTTATGGTCTCGATGATTTGTTCATTTTCAATCTTTGACAAATAATTAAATCAAATATATATCAATAAAATAAAATTATATTTTGTATTTCAAAAATGTTTTATAAAATGAATCTAATAAAATTATTTTTGTATTAATATTTAATACGGAGAATTTTTTTTATTTAGTTTATTGTTGAAGTTTGTCAATTTTTGAATGAAAAAGTACATAATATATATTTTTGGTTTTTACTTGGTATTCCCTCGTCAAAAAATTTTATTTCTATTTGACTTGACACAAAGATTAAGAAAAGTGAAAAAATATAAATAATTTCCATGCATTGCTCTTGATGTGATGGGATAAAGTGAATAGTAGATAAAAAGTGAGGATATAATGATACATCCATTAAAAGTTTTTTTTTTCTGCCAAAATAGGAAACAAGAATTTTTTTTAGACGACTCAAAAGAGAGAGAAATTAATTGATGGAGAAAGTATAATTTATTACGGAGTAAAATTTTACCTATTTTTAAATGAAAGTACAAATAATATTGCTACTCAAGCCTAGGGGTGTAAACGGATTTTAATCGGATCGGATGTGCTATTACCAAATCCGTATCCGTTTACTTTTGTCGGATATCGAATTCGGATACGGATCTTGACGGATATTGAAAAATCATAACCGTATCCGCATCCGTCGGATATCGGTCGGATATCGGATATATCCGTATCCGTTTCCAATTTTGAAAACTAAACTAAACAATACTTGAATTTTCAATTAAACTAAATTAAAATATTATTAAATCAACTATAATTTTTTATGGGATATTTATTTTCTTATTTTTTATAGTTTATGATATTATACGATGACTTCATATCATAAAAAGATATACACCGTACATATATACACATATTTTTACATGTCTACA